GTTAGGATTTCCTGGTTTTCATATCTTGTAGAGAAGTGTCTGAGGACATTGTATAAGAAATGAGAATTGGGCCTTTTGAGAGTCTATGCAGATTGCACTTACCATCAGTGTGAGGATCTGACTTAAGAGCTATGGATCTTGGTGCTGGAGCAATAGCACAGCGGGTAGGGCATTTGTCTTGCACGCAGTCAACATGGCCAAACCTGGTTCGATTCCCAGCATCCCATATGGTCCCCCGAGAACCGCCAGGAGTAATTCCTGAGTGCATGACTCAGGGGTAACCCTGAGCATCGCCGGGTGTGACCAAAAAAGAAAAAAAAATAGCTATGGATTTTTAATCTCCTAGAAGAAACATTGCTCCCCCAAAGCCCATTGCTGCTAACTGACCTGGAGTGTTTGCATAAGAGTGGACAGAGAGGCACGATCACGACCATACTGTTGTTTGTTGATTGCCTTGAGCAGGCCCCAGTAACGTCTCCTTCATCCTAGGTCTGAGATTTTTAAAAAGTGCCATATTCAAGGCTCTTTCAGGATTAGGTGAATGAGACCCATCTTTGTTACTGGTATTTGGCATATTGGGTATGCCACGGGGAGTTTGCCAGACTCTGCTGTGTGGGCAGGTTACATTCCGTAGCCTGCCGGGTTTGTCCAAAGTAAGAATGAGGTAAGATGTCGCTTCCGGGAGCTGGGTTTTATAGTCTTTGGCTCTTGGCCATTGATGGGATTACACGGCACCAGGGGGTGAGTTGGTGGGGTGTGACCCCTGCTTACTGGAAGGTAGAGGATCTGGGTGGAGGAAGCTCAACCCCGATCCAAGCAGGCTTGGAGATCTCAGCCCCGGGACCCGCATGCCTTTGTTCCTCTGCCAGTAGCTTCATGCATTTGGAGGGTGGTCTCAGCATGGTGGCTGGATCAGGAAGTCATTGGCTGCCGGAGCTATGTTCAGGGCGGGGAGGGAAACTCGACCCGCCCCCCTCCAAGGGGCCCCGGCGAGGACAGCCAGGTGCGGGGGCAGCAGACTGTGCCGTTCTCTTCCAGGAGCTGGGTTTTATAGTCTCTGGATCTTGGCCGTTGATGGGATTACACAGCGCCAGGGGCCAGTTGGTGGGTGTGACCCTTGCCTACTAGAAGGTAGAGGATCTGGGTGGAGGATGCTCAGCCCCGATCTGAGCAGGCTTGGAGATCTCAGACAGGCTTGGAGATCTCAGACACATAGAGTCGTAATGTCTGAGTAGAGATTTTTTTTCAGGACGGGATATTTTATTTTATTTATTTACTTTTTTAATTTTATTGAATCACCGTGAGATTTGCTCAAGCGGGCCCAGTAATGTCTCCATTGGAGACTTTGTTGTTACTGTGTCTGGCATATCGAATACGTCACGGGGAGCTTGCCAGGCTCTGCTGTGCGGGCGAGATACTCTCGGTAGCTTGCCGGGCTCTCCGAGAGGGGCGGAGGAATCAAACTCGGGTCGGCCATGTTGGCTGCGTGCAAGGCAAACGCCCTACCCACTGTGCTTACAAGCTTTTATGTTTGGGAAACAATCACACAAGGATCAAACACCCATCCCTCCACTTTTGGACAGGACAAAAGTGCACATTCCCCACCACCAATATCCTCAATACACCCCCCTTACCCTCCCTTTCCCACCTTCCCCCTGCCTCCATGGCAGACATTATACCCCATACTCACTCTCTACTTGTGAGCATTATGGTTTGAAATACAGACACTGAGAGTTATCATTTTGGGTCTTTTATCTACATTCAGCACACATCTCCCATCCCGACCGGTTCCTCAAGCCATCATTACCTTAGGGATCCCTAGCTGCCTTCTCAGCTTTGTTCATGAGGCAGGCTTCCAGCTATGGAGCAATCTAGATTTAAGAGTGTCAGAGAATGGAGATTCAAGCAGCATAGTAAGGCTCAAGAGAAAAACCTTGAGAGAGGTCTGAGGGAACCTAGAGCCCAGCAAAGAGGACATGCTGGCATACCTCAAGGCAGGAGTAATCAATTCTCAGTCTCTGGCCAGACACCAAGTGCTCAAAATTCTTTCTTTTTCTGTTATGCTTTTAACTATTAGTTTTTAATCGCCGTGAGATACGGTTACAAAGATTGCCTGTTTACGTTTCAGTCACACAATGATCGACAACCCAACCCTCGACCAGTGCACATCCTCCAACACCAAGGTCCCCAGTATCCCCCCCATCCCACCCCTTTCCCTTCCTCTATGCCGGGCAATCTACCCCATACTCTCTTTTGTATTGTTTGTTATGACTAGAACAACATGTTGCAGCTCTGCTCTCCTGGAATTCTAAAATATTAGATAATTAGGATCTGGAGAAATCTGTACAGCGAGATGCTCGATTTGGACAGTTTTTTGTGTGTCTCTGGATCTTGGCCATTAAGGTGCTTAAGTAGCTACTAGAGGCAGTTTGTGCCTGTGACCATCAGGGTCCCATGGGGAGGGAGGGGTAGATGAGAAGGACCGGCTCATTTCCTATTTCTGGAGGCCTGGAGTTTGCCACGTCACTGAACCCGCATACCTGCATTTCACATTGGGTTCTGGAAGTTGATGGTCACCAGGGTTTTTAGGGGGCAGATAGAAGGATGACGCTTGTCCCTATCTGAGGCACCACGGTGAAGTCGACCTGTCCTGAGCTATCACCACAGCAAGCAGCTCAGTTTAGAGATTCTTTTGTGTCTCTGGATCATGGGCATTAAAGAGCTCAAGTAGCAGCTGGAGTCAGTTTGTGGGCATGACCTCCAGGGTAGAATGGGGACTGGGGATGAAAAGGACCGGCCCATCACTTATCCCTTTGGACCTGGAGTTTGCTGTCACTGAACCAGTGTACCTGCACTTCTCATTGGGTTCTGGAAGTTGGCAGCCTGTGGGATTTTTTTGGGACAGGTGGAGGGATGTCTTCCCCCATCTGAGGCACCCCAGCGAAGTCGGCCTGACTTAAAGTCCGGACGTTATGTCTGCAGCAGGCTGCACACTTTGGAGATTCGTTTGTGTGTCTCTGGCTCATGGCCCATGTTTCCATCTTTTCGAGAGAAATAAATTATTGGCATATGCCCTGCAGAGCATGGCCGCTTTCCCACAACAAGCTATGCCACCGGTCCTGACTATGGCTCTTGATCGCTTTTGAGATATATGTGTCCCTAAAATAAGACCTAAAAATCAGCTTGCATAGCCGAGCCAGAGGTGGTTTGGGAGTGTATCTCCCACATATCTAACATTTGACTGTTTAATTGCTTGCTCAACTTGGCCCCAAGTTATTGGGGTCTTTTCAAAGGCACAGCGGCAACTGTGGGATAAGAGAAATTCTAAAGGCCCCATCAGGATGTTGATGAACTCGCCATGCAGGTACAGGTTGACACCTGCTGGCAGCACCATACCCCGCTCAAATTATTTCACACGATAACCTTTTTCAGATCTCAAGCGCCTGGTTATTAGACTAGGAGTTGATATACAGAGCTGTACATGAGATCAGAAGAGATCCTGAGCAACTGAGGGGCCTCTGCTGCCAACGTTGGGGCCCAGAGAACACTACCTGGCTGACCCAGGGTTATGGCTAAAATCCATAGGTAGGAATAGTGACAGCTATTACATCTGGGAGAAGCTGTCTGAGGTGAGATAATTGAGGAGAAGAGTGTGGCACTTTTGGACAGGACAAAAGGCACAAAAAGAACCTCCATAATGACAATTTATTGGTGCAATATATTCTCCTATGTAAACAATCCTGGAAAATCTAGATTCTTGATATCATTCCATTACCTGTCTTGGGAAGATCCTGGCAGCAGTGACTTTGAGAGACACACTGACCTATCTCTGCGAGGTGTCCGACGGATACGAGTGGGAAGACCCAGGGTGTGGGATATGGTTTTCTTTGGTAGAAGAGGGACTGAGGAGGCAGGACCAAGCATAACCTACAGTTTCAGTTCATGCAGCCATGGGTATATGTATCCCAAACCATCAACATGATGGATTCAGGGAACCTGTCAGGTTAGAACAATGCTCTGCAGAATCATTTGATCAAAGAGGAATGGGGTGTACGTGCAATTAGAAGGAAGCTTGTGTCGAACATCTCTATTGTTCCCTTGAATCACAGGGAGAAACACAGCTGGATGTCAGAAGACATCTGTCTGTTGAAGGAAACCAGACAATCGAGGTGACAGTGCCAGGCACTGCTGAATTCAGTGAGGACCCAAGAGACGATGGAGAATACCCCAGTATATATAGAAACAAATGATACAAAAGAAATGTTAATTGTCCCTGTTCAATGGCCACTTTCCTGTCCCATGTGAATGTGGCATCACGTCCCATGTCATCTGAGGGGTGTCCCAGGGGCTGTTCAGTATCCTAGGATACCCTGAACAACTAGTAGAAAAGAGAGAGCACACAGCAAAGAGCAGCATAATTTGACTGTGTCTCCATCAAAACTCACCTCAGTTTCCAAAAAGAATTGACACTTTGCAATCTATGCCCTCTCATGCTACGTTATTCTTTCCTTTCAGTTGTAAGTGGCATCTGCCTAGAAGAACAGAACCTTGGGGCTGAATGCACCTTATCGTTGAAGCTGAGTAAGTCCCCTGATGTTTAATATGCTTAACTATTTCATTGAGGACCATTGCATTCCATAATTATGTGCCTTTTAGCTACAGTAGGTATCTGAAACATACTTGTCAACAAAAGTCAGCACCATAGCGTGTATATCCCTGGACCACAGTGCACTGAAGAGCATCCCAGTAAGCACTCTAACTCACCCCCCTTAGATACAATAGCTGATGCCCTTTTCCAGTTCGCTTTGACTGATTGTGCCTGTTGCTATTCTTTTTCTCCTCTGTAACCCACATATGAGTGCAGTCCTTGGATAGGTGACTTTCTCCCTTAGTTACAATTAGTGTTCCTATTTTGAATTCTACCCCCTCTCAACTTCAGGCATGCAAGCCATCGACCAGCACCTGTGCACACATCGGCTGCCTGTGGTACACGTGTCATCATGTCTCGCTGTGATGAGTTTTGGGCCTTCAAGGTTGAGGAAGAAAATGAGGATGCCCAGGATGGCCAGCATCTGGAGAGGGCTCAGCTGTCCAAGGCTGAGATGGGGATGGCTGAATTGCCCTCCTCCACCACTGCCACCGTCCACGTTGAGGGCACCCTGGGGGAGGTGGCAGCTGCTCAAGTCTTCCATGAAGTCAAAGGTCCTCAGGATCGTCTGGCCATGGCCCATCACTTCCAGGTGGACATGGCCGAAGAGCTCGACAGCCATCCCAAAAGTAGCAGTGCCAGCAGCCACAAAGGGAAAGGCCTAGAAGGTCGGGAGGAGCCAAGCCAAGTTGGGGCCTGCCTCCAGGAGGCGTTGCATGACAAGATGTCTAATCTGGTGGGGTTCCTTCTCCTCAAGTACCGCACTAAGCAGCTGACCATGAAGTATGCAATGCTGAGAACCATCCTCAACAATGATGAAGAGAAATTCTCTTTCTTCCTAAGCCAGGTGTCTGAGTGCACGCAGTTGCTCTTTGGCATCGATGTGAAGGAAATCAACCCCGAAATTCATAGCTATGTGTTGGTCACCACCTTGGGCCTCATTTATCATGGCATGGTGGGCCCTAGGCAAACCATGTCCAATACCGGCCTGCTGGTGATGGTCCTGGGGCTCATCCTTCTGGAGAATGATTGTGCCTCTGAGCAGGTTGTCTGGGAACAGTTAGGTCTGATGGGAGTTCATCCGGGGAGGAGGCACTTCATTTATGGGGAGCCCAAGGAGCTCCTCACCAATGTGTGGGTGCAGAACCGGTATCTCGATTACCGGCGGGAGCCTGGAAGTTACCGAGCCCGATATCAGTTCCTGTGGGGCCCCAGTGCCCACACAGAAATTCGCAAGGTGGAAGTCATGGAGTTTTTCCTCAATATCTTTGAGAGTGATAATAGGTTCCTCACGTTCTTAACAGATCAGCCTCATTCCATAGACAAAGAAGAAGTGGACTGAACAAGGGTTCAGTTGCAGAGAGCAATCAGGGTTCCAAGTGTTGGGGACTAAGGCAAGTTCGGCACCTATTGGTGAGCATCCTAGGGTTCCTGTTCTCTGTGATGCCCTGTAAATCACTCTTGTTTTTCTTAAGGATCCTAGCAAATGTTGCGTTTTCTTGATGAACTGTTGTATTTTGTCTGAGTTTTTGAATGCATTTACCTCTCAAATATAGCGTCTGTTCGCTCTAGGAACGTGAAGAGCCTCAAACCAATCGTTAATGATCTTGATGAAGAAGTCTAACCATCTGGTAGGTGGGCCGCCACACGGTCTTTTGATATCCTGTGGAATCCAGTCGTTGACAGCTCTAGTCCAGCGGTCGTCTTTAAATCTCATTACGTGACCAGCCCATCTGATTTTTGACACCTTGGCAAATGAGACAGCGTCCTTGATTCTTGATCATTGATGGAGGTCGGAACTCTGGATTCTTTCTCTCATTTGAGTGAAACGTGATATTCCAAGCATAGCTCTTCCAATTCCTCTTTGGGAGACCTGATACCAAATTCCACAGGATGGATATGTCGTTCCCAATGTTCTCCCTTGCGAAATCCGACACACCACTTCGTCAGTAAAGAAAAGAACAGCACCCGGCCCAGACAAGGTCAGACCTGAACACCTGAAGAACCTTCTGTCAGTACTCATCAATACGCTAGCTCTGCTCTTCACACGCTACCTGTCTGAATGCAAGGTTCCGTCCCAGTGGAAAACCAGCAGGACTGTACTACTGTAGAAGAAGGGAGACATCCATGACATTGGCAACTATTGCCCAATCTGCCTATTGTCTGTCATCTACAAGTTGTTCACTTGAGTCATCCTAAATAGGATTGGCAGAACACTAGATGAAGGACAATCATGCTAGCAAGCCAGGTTCCGCAAAGCATTCAACACCATCGACCATATCCACACGATAACCAAGCTCATTGAGGTTTCTCAGGAGTTCAAGATGCCGCACTGTCTAACGTTCATTGACTTAAAGATGGCCTTTGATTCTGTTGAGAAGGAAGCGGTCATTGAAGCCCTAGCCAATCAGGGCATTCAAGCTCAATACATCAAGATCCTTCGTGAGCTGTATTACGGATTCACTACCAGGATCTCACCATTCTACAAAGAAGTAATCATAGATGTCAACAGAGGGGTTTGGCAGGGTGATACCATTTCACCGAAACTCTTCAGTGCCACCCTCGAGAACATCATGCGACGACTGGAATGGGAAGGAATGGGAGTGAAGATAGATGGTCGGCAACTACACCACCTCCGCTTTGCTGCTGACATTGTTTTAATAACACCAAACATCAACCAAGCGGCACAAATGCTGGCCGACTTTGACCATGAGTGTGGAAAGGTAGGACTACAGCTGAATCTTACGAAGACAATGTTTATGAGAAACAGCCTCGTTCCTGATGCCCCATTCGCTCTCAACGGAACGACCATCTCCGAATGCAACAGCTATGTGTACCTAGGTCGAGAAGTCAACATGACAAATGACCTGGCACCCGAGCTGAGCAGGAGGAAGAGAGTGGCTTGGAACACCTTCATGAGTGTCGAAGAAATAGCTAAGAGGACGAAGAACCTCCGGCTCTGGGCACATCTCTTTGATTCCTCTGTTCTTCCTGCATTAACATTCGCCTCAGAGACCTGGACCCCACGCAAAGGGTCAGATATGTCAATAAAAATAAAAGACGCATTTCTTTTCCTTTCCTTTCATTTAAGTCCATATTTATGCGACTAAGCATGTGTTAACAAGTCAGTACAGGAAATTTGCTCTCCATGTATGCGCTCCGTGCCTGTTCGTATGCCTGTTTCCCAGCTACTGAGTTTTTTCTCTTGGGAATTCCGGCAGCTGAGAGAGTGGGCAGAAGTCTTCTGCCCCCGCGCCTGGCTGTTCCTCGCCGGGGCCTGTTGGAGGGGAGCGGGTTGAGCTTTCCTCCCCGCCCTGACCAGGGCTCCTGCAGCTGAAGACCTCCAGGACCAGCCACCACCATGCTGAGACCACTCTCCGCACACATGAAGGTACTGGCAGAGGGACAAATCCATGCGGGTTCCGGGGCCGAGATCTCCCAGCCTACTCGGATTGGAGTCGAGCATCCTCCACCCAGATCCTCCAAATTCCGGTAGGCGGGGATCACACCCACCACCTGGCCCCCTGGCGCCGTGTAATCCCATCAACGGCCAAGACTCAGAGACTATAAAATGCAGCTCCCGGAACCACGCGGCCGCATTCGCGGCCATGCGACATCTTATCAGGACATCTTTTTATGACATCTTATTATCTCATTCCTACTTTGGACAAACTTGCAGGCTATCGAATGTAGCCTGCCCACAGGCCAGAGTCTGGCAAACTCCCCGTGGCGTACCAAATATGCCAAATACCAGTAACAATGATGGGTCTCATTCTCCTAAAGAGCCTTGAATATAATCTCAGGGTTAGGATGAAAGAGACGTTACTGGGGCCTGCTCGAGGCAATCGATGAATAACAGGATGATGAAATGAAAATGAAATGAGAGAGTGGGAACACACTGATGAGCGGGAGACAGCCAGCCCACGGAGCAATAGCGTAGGGTCCTGCCCACTGAAGGGACATGGTCTGCGGTGCCTGAGATGCACAGAGCGAGTCAAAAGAGCGGACGGGTGATGGGGCTCAGGAAGAAAAATGGAGTCTGAAAGCCTGGCCCCAGGCAGTGCTGCTCCCCTCCTCCCAGCCAGTTCCTTCTCTCCTCCTCCTCGCACTGTTTGCCTTTATAGGATTCCTGAGTCTCAGGAGCCTCAAGCAAGGACCCAGGCCCACGTAGTCAGAGCATGCTGGAGGCAGCCGAGTGGCCAGCAGGAGCACACACTGTGTGGTCTGTCTGGCTATTGATTGATGATGGCCAGGCACCCCACCCTCTTTCTCAGACACAAGAGACCACTTTCCCCATTCCCCCTTTTGTGTCCACCGCTGTGTTTCTGGAACCTCGTCTGTTGAGCAGTGAATGGGCTGTGAATGTGGCATGGAAACTCCTGCGCTTGTCTCTGCATGGCATGTGCCCTTCATGCACCCCAGTCCCCTGCCAGCACTGGAGTGTGTGACCTTGTGCAGTGGAGTTGCATGGTCACTGCTCTTCATAAGTCTTCCGGCATGCTGCTCCCTAAAATGGCCCTGAAGAGTCTGCCTATTCCATGGGGTCTTTGTTGCTGTGTATCCCTGAAATTGCACACAGTGGATTGCAAGAGAACTCTGATGCCACCTTATCGTGACCTGGGAAGGCGCTGATAAGTCTATGAATTAGCAAATCTAAGGCCGAAAGAAATGTTAGTGTCAGTGGAAGTCCAAGAACAAACATTGATTGCAGCCCAATTCCCTCTAACCCTATGTCTTACCAGAAGGAGTTCTGGGGTCTTAGGGACACCATAGATTACATTTCAGAGGAGGAAGTGAACCATCCCCTCCTACTTCTTGTGGGGGTTGTGCCTGACTTGAGTTGATATCAGAGGGAGAGGAGCTGGTGGTCCCGCAGGACAGCCAAAGGTAGTTAAGGAATCAGAGACTCTGGGTTCAGCACTGTATACAGGAATCAGACAACAGAGGACTCTCTGGCTTCTGAGATAAGAGGCACTTGACAAAGGGACATCTGGGTGTGCAGACATGCTACGAAATTGAATTAACCCTCTTAAGTATGACCACTTCACCTGACCCTGCATTTGGAAGCACCTGTCACACATGGCAGGCACTGCAACCATAAAAGAGAATTTATGGCAAAGCTGATCTTGCCAGACACTTTTCCAAGGCATCAAGAGGGCTGTTGTCTGTCCTTGAGCACTGACTTGCTGCACACACAGCAGCTCATTGTTCAGTCTACTTGCCCTGGACTTTGCTTGGGCTTACAATCAGGAAGTCTCAAGAGCCCTTGAAAGTGAGGCATGGGCAAGAGCTCACATGGGTCTGAGAGAGCCAGTGGGACTGACCATGCTCCCATCCTTGGGGCAGATCAGCAAACATGGAGAACCCGAGTGAGATGGAGCATTCACTGATGGGAGCAGCCTGCCCCCAAAGACCCCTAGAGAGGATAACCTGACCTATGAACATCAGAATAGAGCCAAACAAACACACAGTGTTTGCATGTATACATATGAGCAGAAATGTCATATGTATAATGATACATGTATATGCACAATCTATATGTGTATTATATATGTGGATTTGTGTCCATACACAAGGAATTTCCTGTGTTATACACAGACTAACTCCAAGAAATGTGTAAAACCTCTGCCTGGTATATAGGAAGGCGGAGAAGATAAATCACAGCACTCATGATGCAGTAGCAGAACCCTGTGAGCAGCCCTCGTCCTGCCTCACACTGCTGCCTCAGTAGTAGCACCTTTAGTGCTCAAAGTGCCCAATGGTGCAGTCCCCTAATAAAATGCACCCCTAACAGGGAGCCCTCCTTTTGAGGTTCTCAAGGTCAGGGTGTGCAACAGCCCTATATGGCATGGCTGCTGGAACCTCTGTCTTTGTCTGCAGAGTTAACGTGGAGCATCCTGAGATTTCAGCGTTCTCCTGCCCTGGAAGAGCCAGGACTCCCAGAACCCAGAAAGGCAATCTGGTGCAGAGCAGCGCCTCAGAGAAGCCTCAGGGTTTCTAGAGCCCACCATTCCCTGCCCCATTTCTCAGAACACAGAGGCCTGAGTCCAGGGTGTGTCTTGTGTCAAATTAAGGTGAATAAAATCAACCCAAAAAACTAAGGTAAAGTGGCCCCCATGGACTGATAGTAAAACAAGTGTGGCATTTGAAGGAAAAGCATTTGAGGTGAGGTGAATACCCTCTTTTGACAAGCAGATACAGGCCAGTTTGTGGTGGGTCACACGTTGCCCGAAGTGATGATGACCCCAAACGCAGTATAGGGTCAGCCCCAAGAAGAGTGGGTTCACATGATGCCCTGACATTCTATCTGGATCTCAGAGTGGGTGTAGACACAGTACAAGG